ATATATACACACAGTATACACGGAGGGCTTTGTTTTTTTTTTGTTTTTTTCCTAGACTTCCAAATCTACCATATGGGGGAGACATTTAATGGATCAGATGAATATTTTGGTGATGGATTTTCTCCTCCAGTTATAAATGAAAGTTTTAATCTCTCTGAAATTTTAGCAAAAATTACATTTTCTTGGCAAAGTGCGTTTAACGGTACAGTGGGCTTTAAGTTGATCACAGTGCCGATATGTTATTATTCGAGTGCCATTTAGGAAGGATGCCCACATCACCCAGGAGCAAGAAGAGGAAGCTGCTGTAGATGGAAGAGAAAGAAATGCATATGGTTTTCTGTTTAAATAAAAAGTACCCTTGGAGTGGGGGCTTTGGGGGAAAGTGGGTGGCAGTAGGGGGGGTAAATCCTGGAGTTGGGCTTTATTTAATAGGACATTATGCAGATAAGTCTAATTAACATCACTTCACTTCTGATCGGTCATTCACTCGGCTGCCCTCGTCAGCTTTGTGAATAGACCCCTATGTCCTTTCCAGGGATAATTCAAGAAGCCCTCCTTTAAAGTCGGTTAGTTATAGGGCAAGGGTGGGCAAACTCCTTAGGGAGTCATGCCTGTGGCTGGCAGAGGCTTGCAGTGCCTAATGGGGGTTGTAGTTGCACCACAGCTGGAGGGACGGCGTTTGCCTTCCCCTGCTATAGGCAAAGCTTCATGACCTAGATTAGGGTTAGAGTAAATAATAGGGTTAGTGTTAGATACTTGGAGCCAGGGTTAGGGTCGATGTAGAATTAGAGAAACAATGAATTGGTTAGTATTAGAATAAAGGTCGGATTAGGAAATAAACTTTCTTTTAGACAATTAAAACTCAACTCCACTTTGAATTTGGATGGAGCGGGGGAGTGTAAGAGCCTCCGTCAGATGTTTATTGTTGTGTTCCAATTTAGGAGATTTGGGATGTCTCTGATCTGTCTCGGAGATTCCAGATTCTGCACTAGTGTTCCCAGCTCCTCCCACCTCTGACTGGGTACTTTGACAGAGGATGAACCCCGGAGGAACTTTCTTGCTCGGCTTCACAAGCTGCCTAACACCAGTGCGGACTCTCAGCTCATCTCTCACCATTGTGTCTCCTCAGATTCTCATCATGTCAATGAAAGACATGAATGTGGCCAAACTCACCTCTGTGGACCTCCCTCTGTTCAGCGGAATCATGCAGGATCTTTTCCCGGGCATAGACACACCGTCAGCGGAATATGGCAAGGTAAGCCCAGGAAATAAAAACATATTTACAGTTTATTTTGTTCATTTAAAAAATGGGAAGGGTCCTTGACCAAGCCTGGCTGCTGCTGCAATGGAGCTCAAGGTCCTGTATGCGTCGTGTGTATCACAAGACTGACTGCACAGAATAAAACCCTCTGGCATTTAAAATGGTTCCTGTATATTTATTTTATATGTGTAGCTAGCTGCATGCCTGAAGTTCAGCTTTGATAGTGGCTAATTGCAATTTCCTCCTTGCCCAATGAGGTACCCAGCCTGATGATAATAGGCAGGCTAGGGATATACTGCCACCTACAGGAGAAATGGACACTGGGCACATAGAAGACTGAAGTCCAGCCCCCAAGGAGCTTAAACCCCACCCACACCACACCTGCGTAGTTTTGCATTGTGTCCTTAGTAGAATGGATGTCTTTTTCCTTTCTGCTATATTTTTTGCTTGAATTGGAAGATTTGTTTCTACTACCAACAGCTATATTGGTAGATTCAGGTGAGATATTGGAAATAGACTTGTTTCGGGTCTATCTGTGCCACCCACGCCACTTTCTATTTTTATTTTGGAAAACCCGCAAAACTGGACCTGGTGTATGGGATGTGAACTGTCTGCTGGTATCCTGGCAGACAGCTCACATACCTCTCTCTGCACATACAGTGAACATGCTACACGGGCAGGGCCTGCATATAGACAGGGCATGCACCATTGTACAGGGTGCTGTACATAGCTTCCTGAAAACCTCCCACCACATCACTATATTTCAGATTGTGTGTGATTGCAGATCTAACATATATTGAAGGAAATTTATAAAAACCGGAGCAGACAATCAGCTTCTCTCTTTCATTTTCAAATCTTAACTGAACAAACTGAAGAGAGAAGCTGATTGGTTGCCATGCACATCTGCTCCAGATTTTGTCTGCTCCAGTTTTGATAAATCCCCCCCCCCAGTGCACATCAATAATTCTTCATTTCTTTTTCATTTTTGCCTCAGCTCCGGGAGCAGATTGAGGAGGAACTGCGCCTCTCTGGCCTCCAGATCACGCCGTTCACCGTCACCAAAGTCATCCAGTTGTATGAAACCAAAACCTCGCGTCACTCCAGTATGATAGTGGGCAGGACCTGCAGCGGGAAGACCACAACCTGGCGCTGCCTGCAGTCGGCACTGTCTGCTCTGCACCGCAATGGAGATACAAACTATAACCTTGTGCGGGTGAGTGACCGCCAATAATCCTTCTCAAAGAGAACTTGTCATTCTCAAAAATCTTTTTCATTTCTTTTTTGGCTTAATGCAGATGATGGCATTTTTTAAAATGAGAAGAGACAATTGAGTTATAGGAAGTCTAGTCAAGTCAGACCCCTTAAAGCTCTTTCTGCCATAACTCCTTCCTCTTTTCCTCTCCACCTATGAGTTTTGGGTGTTCCTGCTTCCCTCATGAGGTGTTTCTACCCATCTTTGTGTGTTCCCTCCCACCATGAGGTATTCCCACCCAACTTTGTGTGTTCCCTCCCACCATGAGGTATTCCCACCCAACTTTGTGCGTTCCCTCCCACTATTAGGTATTTCTGCCCACCTTTGTGTGTTTCCACCCCCATGAGGAGTTCCCACCCCACCTTTATATATTCCATCTCCCATGACAAGTTCCCACCCACCTTTGTGTGTTCCCTCCCACCATGAGGTATTCCCACCCACTTTTGTGTGTTTATTCCCACCCACCTTTGTGTGTTTCCTCCCACCATGAGGTATTCCCACCTACCTTTGTGTGTTTCCACCCCATGAGATGTTCACACCCTTCTTTGTTTTCCCTCCATCAAGCGTTCCCACCCACCTTTGTGTGTTTCCTCCCACCATGAGGTATTCCCACCTACCTTTGTGTGTTTCCACCCCATGAGATGTTCACACCCATCTTTGTTTTCCCTCCATCAAGCGTTCCTGCCCCCATTGTGTGTTTCCTCCCGCCATGAGGTTTTCCTATTCACTTTAAGTGTTCCCCTACTTTCCGTGAAGAGAAGAGTTCCCACCTACCTTTTTGTGTTTCCTCCCCTCATGAGGAATTCTCACCCCGCTTTGTTTGTTTCTGCCCCCCATGAGGTGTTCTCACCCACCTTTTTGTGTTTCCTCCCATCGTGAGGTGTTCCCACTCACTTTTGTGCCCCCTCCAATGAGGAGTTTCTACCCACCTTTGTATGTTCCCTCCCACCATGAGGTATTCCCTCCCACATTTGTGTGTTCCTGTCCCCCATGAGGAGTTCCGGCCCACTATTGTGTGTTTCTTCCCACCATGAGATTTTCCCACCCATATTTCTGTGTTTCCCTCCTATGAGGAGTTTCTGCCCACCTTTGTGTACTCCCTCCAACCATGAGCTATTTCCACTTACCTTTGTGTGTTCCAGTGGCGCCCAAAATGGGCACAGCAGATGTACAGACTCAGGAACTCGGCACAGCGATAGTGGGGGGGCCTTATAATGGGCACAGCAGGTGTACAGACTCAGGAACTCGGCACGGAGATAGTGGTGGGGGCCTTATAATGGGCACAGCAGGTGTACAGACTCAGGAACTCGGCACGGAGATAGTGGGGGGGCCTTATAATGGGCACAGCAGGTGTACAGACTCAGGAACTCGGCACGGAGATAGTGGTGGGGGCCTTATAATGGGCACAGCAGGTGTACAGACTCAGGAACTCGGCACGGAGATAGTGGGGGGGGCCTTATAATGGGCACAGCAGGTGTACAGACTCAGGAACTCAGCACGGCAATAGTGGGGGGGCCTTATAATGGGCACAGCAGGTGTACAGACTCAGGAACTCAGCAGAGATGGTGGGAGCCCCTCATAATGGGCAAAGCAGGTGTACAGACTCAGGAACTCAACACGGAGATAGTGGGAGCCCCTCATAATGGGCACAGCAGATGTACAGACCCAGGAACTCAGCACAGGGATGGAGGGAACCCCTCATAATAAACACAGCAGATGTGCAGAGCCAGGAACTCTGTGCAGAGATCTCACCAAGAGATAAAAAGACAGTCAGGGGCTTTAACTTTGCTTTAGAAATTGTTTGAACCGGTCAATTCCATAATTCAAAGAGATAAATGCAGTTTTTACTACCCTGACCATAATCTTTTACAGGGTTATATTTATCATTAGGGCACAGGTTCTCTTTACCTTTTATATGTTATGTCCTATGTGTAGGAATTTCCTCTGAACCCCAAGGCTGTGTCTCTTGGAGAATTGTATGGTGAATATGATCTGACAACCAACGAGTGGACAGATGGAATCCTCTCCAGCCTTATGCGCACAGCCTGTGCAGGTACGTCAACTGTTGCTGAACACAAAGAACGTTATGTATTAATAGTTGTATGTCATCGTGGCAGGCTGTCCCCATAGTGAGCCTGTGCTGTGGGCATGCAGAGCAGCGTAACAGGTTCACTTTAAAGCCAGTCCCCATGCCAGTGTATACCTACCCTCCTTTTACTCCGCCACCATTCTGTTCACTACTGGGAACGAGGAGAATAAGCCTGATGTAACTTGCAAACCATACTATGCCCCCGTGTCATGGTGCTTGTGTCTGAACAGCCACTTGCTAAGAACCAGCGCTGTCACTTGGGAGAAGGTCTCATGATGCCACATATTCAGATGTTTTCCTCTCTGCCAGTGGTGAATGGAGCAGTGGGGGTACCAAGGAATGATTAATATAAGCAAGGCAGGGAGCTGGACATTAAAGAGACCCTATAGGTCTCTAAAGGTGTTAAAACATCGGTTCCCCTTCAAGAACAATTAATATACTCATAATATACTCATTATTCTGGTGGGCCGTGACTCATACTTCCCTTACTTTCAAGCACTGCAGCCTTTGTCAGTCTCTTCAGAGAGCATTGGATGCCTGCGTTTCCGCCATGTATAGTGGTTCCTTCCTTTGTTCCCCACGTCACCAAAGCTCTCAGGATGTCACAGGATGTCAGCATTTGGCCCAGCTCAGCTCTACCACCCCATACCTCCCCACTGGTCCAGCAATATGGTGGGCTGCTTCATAGACCAACAGGGAGGCTTGGGATTTGGAATCAAGCACCCACTTAGATGAAGTCACTCTGACACCTATGGTTTTGATGTTTTCTTGAATGCTCTAGAACCTTGCTTCCCAACTGGTGGGTCGTGTTCAGTGGGTCGCCGCATGCCTTCCACTTTTCTAGGTGAGGAACTCCTCAGCCTCCCACTAGCGCAGCACTGTCCATTCTCGCACCAAGCAGCCATTCAAAATATGCTACCCGGCGCTGAGTGTCGACTTGAGGTGGGGTGGGCTGGGGGTATGGCCGCGAGGGAGCTCCATCCACAAGTGCATTGCTTACAGCTCCCTCGCATGTCCTGTAGAGGTGCCTGAACCGGAGTGACATCACATTCTGGCTCCCGGAATCTCTACAGGGCGCTTGGGAGCTGTACAAGCAATACACCGATCAATGGAGTTCCATCACAGCACAGCAGCACACACTGCCATGTGTTCCATTGCAGTGCGACTTAGGTCGCGACTTAAAGACCGAGGACAAATGTGGGTCCTGAGGTTACACAGGTTGGGAACCACTGCTCTAGAAACGGGGACCCATGTGCAGACACTTGGAGGTACCTGCTCTGGTATTTGAGAAATGGTTTCATTAGGCCTCAGACACGACATCTTACCTTTGTTCCTGCACCAATAAGCCACATAGAAGGACATGAAGAATGAAAAGCAACTTGGTGAACTAGTATAAAGACAAAATGAGTCCGGATCTGCTGTTTTATATCACAGATACAGCCTATGATAGATCCCTTTATATCATCTTCTATGCTGCTGTACCAGGCTTGTAAGCTCTAATCAGTGCAAGACATGGAAGTCGTGGTTTAGAGAACAGTTAGGAAATCAGTAAAGAGTTGTGCTCTGTATTATGCGGCGGGAAGACTGAGCAATCTGATCTATTTTATTTGGCAGATGAGCGCCCGGACGAGAAGTGGATTGTGTTTGATGGGCCGGTGGACACTCTGTGGATAGAAAGCATGAATTCTGTCATGGACGATAACAAAGTCCTGACCCTTATCAATGGAGAGAGGATAGCCATGCCGGAGCAGGTGAGCTAATACCTCACCTGGTATAGAAGGTCGTTTGATGACTTTTCCCAATAGAAGGTCATAGAGAAATGTCATATATATATATATATATGCTGAAAACTTATATGTGTCTAGACATTTCTCTATGACCTTCTATTGGGAAAAGTCATCAAACGACCTTCTATTGGGAAAAGTCTGTTGGCCAGGATAGATTTTTTTATTATATGTGTCTAGACATTTCTCTATGCACATTACTCAATGTCAAGTGATCCCACCAAATTGATCAGATGACACAATGATTGCCTTGACTCTGGACTATGGAGATGTCATCAAACACCCTCGTATCGGGGAAAGTCTGTTGGCCAGGATAGATTTTTTTTAGCCAGTAGACGGTTGTTCTCCCAAGGCAAATTTATCACCAGCGGTGTCTGATGGGCACACAAAGGGAGTGCTTGGCAGTTGGACCGTTTGCTAATGTCCAACTACTATCTCCTAAGGCCCCATTCACACTGAGCGACATGAAAATCGCGCGATTTTGAGCGATATTGCGCGACGAGCGATATTGAGCGACTTGTCGCGGGACATCGCGCAACTTTTTCCTATTGGGCTGTATGCAATCAGGAGCAATATCACTCCAAATCTCTCAAAAAAAGGGTCATGTAGGAGCGACAAGCTACCAGCGACGAGCTACAAGCGATATTGAGCGACGAGATGTGAACAGCTCCATTGAAATGGATTGGAGAAGCTACATAGAGCGATATCGCGTGGAAATATGAGCGATATCGCTGCAAAAATCGCTCGATAAATCGCTCAGTGTGAATGGGGCCTAAGCAGTGGCTTTAAGTGGACCTGTCAGGTACAAGACTCAACTTACTAGTGTCAGGACGGACTTTTCATCCAACTGAACTTTTACTAGGCTCTGGCTTGTTTCTGAGAGATACTCAAGTTGAACTTGTATTACCCAAGAATACAAGTAGAATGATGTCCGTGGGCAAGAGATCAGAAGATATTTTTTCCGTGCCATTGTGTTTCGGAGCTTTTAGAATGCCCCCTTCTTCAGGGTCCAAAGGAAGGGTTGTCTGGGAAATGGAAAAGCAGTCTGATGCCAAACTTTGTCCTTATCCGCACATCATTTATCAAGGCACTTTTACCTGTAAGGTCTCTGCTCTTCATTCAGCGGTTTCCAATCCTCCTAAGAGTTAAGCCCTGAAGAAGGGGTTCATAAAAACAAGAAACGCAATGGATCTTTCACTAAATATTACTCTCCGGATATCTGACTTGTCCCCAGCATCATTCCGGCACTTCTAGTTTTCCTGGGTTGATGACCACATCCAAGGCTCCCTAGTGTATCATGGGCTCCTATGGTGTTATGAAAGCAGCTTTGCTCTCCCCTTCCACATCTGGAATGGTATCACACATGATGTAGAGTCACCCAGTGCTACCGTTCACCAATTTCTGAACAATTGTTACTGGTGCCAAGCTTGTTTCTTAGATATACACTCATACTGACGTTCTACTAGTATGAGGCTTGTCTCCTAGACAGGTACTTAGGCTAAATTTGTACCAGTATCTGGTTTGTTTCACAGACAGGTACTCAAGCTGAACTTATACTACTGTCAGGTTTGTCTGTCTCTTAAGTTCTCACACTGAACTATTACTAGTGTCATGGTTGTTTCATAGATAGATACTCAGTTTGAGCTTTAAAGGAGAACTATGGGGTTAAGGCTTTTCCCCATAGTTCTCCTTAGGGTAACGGGAGGACACAAACTAGCGTCCTCCCGTTACCCTAAGCTCAGTATACCGCGAGCTACAGCTTGCGGTATACTGAGACGCCGGAGCAGATCCCGACATTGATGTCGAGATCCGCCCAGCTGCGTGAGTGACAGCTGGCTCTGCCTATCTAGAGGCAGAGCCAGCTGTACCCGTCCGTTCCGCCAGTCAGCGCTGGCGGATTGGAGGGGGGAATCCAGCCCCTCCCCTGTCACGGCAGAGAGCCGTGACAGGATTGAGAGGGGAGCGAACGCCGGTATATGTTCGCTCACCTCCCGATCTACAGAGCCGACCTGTGACACATTTTCACAGGTCGGCTAGAACTATGAGGTGAGTGAAAAGCACTCGCCTCATAGTTCTCCTTTAACATATACCAGACTTTTCTTTTACACAAGTACTCAGAGCAAACTTTTACTAGTGTTTGACGCTTCTCTTAGACAAGTCAGGTCTGTCTCTAGGTCAGGTTTATCTCTTAGGTACTCAGATTGAACTTCATCCAGTGCTCAGACTGAACTATGAAAATTCAGATTGAACGTTTACTAAGCCTTGTGTCCCAGAGAGATATTCAAAGTGAGCTTTTGCTATAGTCAGGTGTGTCACTTAGACAGGTACTCAGATGTCATTACAGAAGTTGCCTTATTGCTGACCTGTCTGTCTGTCCATGCACAGGTGTCTCTGCTCTTTGAGGTTGCAGATCTCGCCGTCGCCTCTCCAGCCACGGTGTCCCGTTGCGGTATGGTATACAGCGATCACACCAGCCTGGGCTGGAAGCCATGTGTCCAGTCCTGGCTAGAGAAGAGATCCAAGGTAAGATACTATTCGGATGAGTGAACTTTCCTAAATTCAGAAAGAGAACATAGGGAACTGGTAGCTGAAAGAACATACCATGTGCTTTGCATCCTGCATCTCTTTGTCTTTTAACCACAGCAGATATGTAGTTGACAATGGGGCATCCAAGGACTTGTTTTCCAAAAGTAGATCATGTGTATTCCCGTTAGCTTAATAAGATGCCAACTTGAGCCTTTTAATTTACCCCATCTCAGCAGTGGCTCATCAGCCCAGGTTACCATGTTCCTCACTCTCAGCAGCTCAGCTCATCATTCCCAACAGTGGCTCATCAGCCCAGGTTACCATGTTCCTCACTCTCAGCAGCTCAGCTCATCATTCCCAACAGTGGCTCATCAGCCCAGGTTACCATGTTCCTCACTCTCAGCAGCTCAGCTCATCATTCCCAACAGTGGCTCATCAGCCCAGGTTACCATGTTCCTCACTCTCAGCAGCTCAGCTCATCATTCCCAACAGTGGCTCATCAGCCCAGCTTACCTTGTTCCGCACTCCCAGCAGTGGCTCAGCAGCTCAGCTCACCATTCCCAACAGTGACTCATCAGCCCAGGTTACCATGCTCCTCACTCCCAGCAGTGATGCAGCAGCTGAGCCCCGCTTCTCCCTCCCAGCAGTGACTCAGAAGTTGAGCTCACATTACTCCTGCCTTCCAACAAAGACTCAGCAGCTTAGCTCACCCTGATCCCCGCTCCTAGCAGCAGCTAAGCAACTGGGCTTCCCTGCCCCTGCCCTTGTCACCTAGTATCTGAGCCTATCATGCCCTCCTCCTAGCAATGGCTCTGCAGCTTAGCTCACCCTACTCCTCCAACCCCACAGTAGCTAAGCAGCTGGGCTACACTGCCCCCCGCAGCAGTGAATTCACAGCTCAGGTCATCCCGCTTCCCCCTGACAAGTCACTGCTGGGGAGGGGGAACAGTAACAGCTGATTTGGATATTTTATATATACTGCCTGCGCATATTAATCCGCTGCGCTTAAATGCACGCTGCATTCAGTTCTTTCTGTATAAGGGGTGAAGTACTTCTTTAGCACCAGAGAGAGTCAGACACGATGCTGCTTCAAGCTGGAGTCCGTGTAGAAAAAAGGGCAGAACCGACCACCAACTTCTTCATTTATTAAGGTCAAAGGACGACGTCCAGCTTTATAACATAGCCAGTCAGCCCAGCAAGTACAGGTACACATCAAAAGGAAAGGGGACTACACCAAGATGGCTGAACAGTGAAATGCACATACCTTATCCCTGTAACACAAGGAAGGACGAGTCATGTCCATTGTCCCGAACAGCCATGTGGTTGCCCATCCCCCATCATCGTCAGCATGGACCCCATTCAATACTGCTCAGAGTGACCAGTATCTAATAAGATCATTCTACTTGTTCTTACAGGTTTGAGACTATCTGAAGAGACATTGCTAATGCGGTTATCTATATACGGTACCAGTATACGGACAAGGCAGATTATGTCTTCTTATAAAAGCAGATATGTATCCAAAAGGGATAGCGCAGTCCGCAATAGAGGTATAATACGCATCTCATTATAGGACTTCGCTTCGCGTATGTGTGTAGACGTTTGAAGGCAAGGAGCCCCGCGCAGTGCACTTAGTACTCACAAACCGGCAAACGCCTCCACACGCCGCGAACACGTCTCCAAGCCCATGAGAAGGTTTTCATACTGACGGTTTTACCGCTGGTCCTGATTCAACCCAAGTACCCTCTGCTAGAGCGTTCCTCGGTTACATCCGACACAGGGGGACAGATGACAATCCCTAAAACACACAAGTCCTACAATACAATGTCCACATATAATAAAATGTCCACAACACAGCTGAGCTGCCAAGTCACTGCTCGGAGGGGAGCAGGGTGAGCTGAGTTACTGAGAGAACAATTTGAAGGACTTCTTGCTTCTGTTGTGAACTTTGACTTTTGACTTTGAAAAGAGCAGAGTGGGGGTCTCGGCAACAACATCCGTACATAACGGTCAGCTCTCTAAAGCAGAAGATGTATGTTAATGCCCACTCCACCACACCCGTCCCCCTCACCCTCAACCATACTTCAAGTACTCAGTACTCATACTCAGACCTTGTCTCAAAATATCACCCTAACAGTCCACTCCGCTCTTCCCTAGAACTCCTGCTTTCCAGCTCCCTAGTCAACTCCTCCCATACTCGCCTCCAGGACTTCTCTAGAGTCTCTCCCATCCTCTGGAACTCTTTACCCCACCCTGTCCGTCTATCTCCCACCCTGACTGTCTTTAGGCGTTCCCTGAAGACTCTTCTCTTCAGGGAAGCCTATCCCACCTCAACCTAACCACTTAACCATCACATTCTCAAACAATTCATCCCCACACAGCTACCTCCTCATGTATCACTTCCCCCTCATCTTTTAGATTGTAAGCCCTCAGGGGCAGGGCCCTCCTTACCATCTTGTCTTGAATTGTATTGTAATTGTAATGTCTTCCTTACATTGTAAAGCGCTGCGCAAACTGTTGGCGCTATATAAATACTATGTAATAATAATAAGTGGACCTGTCAAAACACGAGTTAAATTATTATTATTATTACATAGTATTTATAGAGCGCCAACAGTTTGCGCAGCGCTTTACAATGTAAGGAAGACATTACAATCACAATACAATACAATACAAGATGGTGAGGAGGGCCCTGCCCCTGAGGGCTTACAATCTAAAAGAGGAGGGGGAAATGATACATGAGGAGGTAGCTGTGGCTGAATTGTGGAGGAAGGAGGGGCAGAGTGATATGGTCCCAAAACAGGGACAGTTTCTTCTTTCACACCTGCAGTCCCCTTGGTACAGTGCTTTCATGTTACATGAACGGGTGTATTGGTAATAAAGACTGTCTACCGTGCAGGGGGAAGCGGAGAGCCTCCAGCGTATGTTTGACAAATACGTGGGGAAGATGCTGGAGTATAAACACCAGAACTGCAAGGAACTCGTACCCCAAGAGGAGGCCTGCGGGGTCATCTCACTCTGCAAGCTGTACGAGTCACTGGCCACACTGGAAAATGGGGTAAGTCCTCCGCAAGAGGTGGAAAGCCTTAAAGGGAAACTTCAAACTGATGACGTGTGGGGGCTTTTAAAGCATCATCTATGGACTTTTTGGGGTACTGAATTTTTTCGCCGTTTTACAGACGCACTCAATTTTTAACCTGGGCATGTTGGGTATCTATTTACTCGCCGTAACCTCATCTTTTATATTTTATTAAACAAATGGGTATTTTATTGTGTTTTGGGGCATTTTAAGTGCATTTTTCACTAAAGTTTGGGGTTTGATAAGGAGTTGCGCTAATATCGTGCAACATAAAAAAAATTGCAACTGCAACATGTTATTAGTAAGTGGGAACCAGGGACTAAGCCATCTGATAAGAGAGGTCACTGCAATTACTTGTTTACTTCTGTGTGTAAATTATAGCTTGAGCTACTGAACTCTGTAAGCAATTTGGGGGTAAATAGACATCACTTGTGTTTTTACATGTAATTCTGGGGGAGATGGAGTGGTGGATTATGACCAGAAGCGGGAACACTATGCAATGGGGGTGTACGTTGGTTCAGGAAAAGAAAACAAATGCAGCCACCACATCCTAGGATTGGCAAGCTGCAATATTGTTAAATTTTTCTTTTTGGGTTTAGATACGCTTTAGGAAGATGAAGTCGAGGATAGTTTATTTTTTAACTTAGAGGAGAACTATGAGGTGAGTGATTTTCACTCATCCTCATAGTTCTAGCCGACGTGTGACAATGAAACTGTCACAGGTCGGCTCAAAAGATCGGGAAGTGAGCGAACACATAGCGTCGCTCGCTCACTTCTCGATCTATCCCTGCAGAGAGCCGTGACTGTCACTCACGGCTCCCTGCAGGGATTCCCCTCTCCGATCCTCCAGCGCTGACTGGAGGAACGGACAGGGGAGGGGGCAGGCTCAGCTGGCTCTGCTTCTAGATAGGCAGAGCCAGCTGTCACTCATGCAGCTGGGCGGATCTCTACAGCATTGTCAGGATCCATCCCGGCTGCGGCGGTCTCAGTATACCGCGAGCTGTAGCTCGCTATATACTGAGCTTTGGGTCACGGGAGGACGCTGTACGTCCTCCCGTGACCCTTTGGCGAACTTTGGGGAAAAACACTGACCCCATAGTTCTCCTTTTAATATGGGCAGAGTATATTTGTGTCATTCTATATCTCTTGTTCACATCGCAGGTGAATCCAGCAGACCAGGACAATTACAGCCGCATGGTGGAGCTCTGGTTCCTCTTCTGCCTGGTCTGGTCAGTATGCGCCTCTGTGGATGAAGACGGGAGGAAGAAGATCGACAACTACCTGAGAGAGATTGAAGGAAGCTTTCCTAATAAGGTGAATTCCCAAAAACCCAGCAAAAGAAGTTTATAAAGTTCTGTAATACCCTGAAAATTTAAGTTTGTGGCAATTTAGTGGGAGGCTGAGTCCATGAAAGTGCGTACACTCGTATCTTTGTGGAGGAAGATGAACAGTTTAAAAGGGAAACTATATTGGTTTTTGGTCCATTTTAGTTTAGGGTTCTTTTTTACACATCTTTATTTGCAGTTCTTTTATGACAAAGGATTCCCAGAGTGCTATGAGTTATCTAAAGATACAGCACACCAGAGCAGCTTGCTTTCTCTGGTTGAAACCTCCTTATATCCAAATTAGTCACTGCGTGTGATGACCAAGTACAAGTGAAAGTCAAAATAACTGACAATGTGAAAAGAAGACTAGATCCCCATCTTCTGACTGGGTAGTCCTTTTAGACTTGTATACGGTCTTCTTCTGAGACTAGAGATGCTATGCAATTCCACGGGGGCTTAATAAGCGGACGTGGATAGAAGGTTTTTGGACAGGAGATGTAGATACCAGGGCAAGCTCTGGCTGTTCTTTTCAGGTTGCAAATGTGTACTTAACTGCTTCCTTAGAGTTCAACTTTAGCCCTTTCATGACCAGACGTCATTGATGCCTAAATGCCCCAAGCCAAGTGTCTGTATGTCTCTGTTAAGCTACAAATAACCCTGTGAACAATTTGCATATCTAAATTTATTTTTTAAAGTCATATAAGACTTTTATTTGGTACAATGAAAATAAAATTGTATTTTCTTTCTCTAATTAAATGCATTAGATTTTTTAATACTGTAATTGTATCTTAAAGTTACAGTATTAGATTGTTTAATACTGTAATTGTATCTTAAAGTGACATTAAACCCTCAGATTTTTTAACATAAAACAATACTGTAATGTGCGCCTTACTGTAACCCATGGTTGTTTCCCTTCTCTTTGCTGCTTATGCCTTAAAATCTGTATCTGTTCTCATGCTGGGCAGAACTTCTGTTTTGCAGCAGACTGCCTTGTCTCTGAAATGGATACATGGTGTCTGTGTGTAGGTTTGCAACCTGAGCCAGCACTACAGGAAGAGGCACTCAGCTGCAAAGGGAAGTTCTCCCCAAGCATGAGAAGACATGAGGATTTAAAAGGAAGAGCAGCAACCATGGATTACAGTACGGCGCACATTACAGTATTGGTTTATGTTAAAAAATCTGAGGGTTTAATGTCACTTTAAAGGTACAGTATAAAACAGACGCAGTGTTCAGCAGTAGCTTTATTTTGTCAGTAAAGCCTCCAGTCAACATGTGATCACTATGTCAATGTTGGCATAGTGAGCACATGATTGGGGACAAGTCTGATTCCCAATCATTAGTGGGGACTGACTCTTTCAGTGACAGATGGGATTGAGAGCTGCTAGTCCCTCAAAGCTCAGTAGCTCTCAAAGTTGAGTCTGTTTATCATCATATCCCCAGCACAGGCCAGCATACGTAGTACCATTAATATAGACATTGTGAGCAGGCAGGGCTTTAGGGTTAGGTTTGGAGTTAGGGTTAGATTCAGGTTACATTAAGGCTGGGTTCACACCATTTTCCAGACCAGGTCTGGAACGCAGTGTATTGCGTTTTTGTCGCGTTTTTACCATTATTTTGCCACGATTGGAAACATTTTTTAACATTTTTTTGTAGCTTACAATGGTCTTACAGGTGCATTTCAGTGCGTTTTGGATGCGTTTCTATGCGTTCCAGTGCATTCCAGACCAGACAAAATGAGACATGCAGTATTTTTCTGGCCTGGTCTGGAACGGACTGCACTGGTGGGAACAGAGGCCTGAAATAGCATCGGGATACTTTAGGATCCATTTTGGGTCTGGAAACGGTCTGGTCTGGAGTTAATCTGGATGTGGTGTGAATGGGCCCTAAAGGTTAATGGTCAGTAAGTGGCAGTTATTATGTTTTATGTGTGAATGTGATTAGTTTATTTTTTGGGTGTCTTGTGTATAACACAATCTGTAAAAAGCACAGATGATAGATATTGTTGTGACGGACCGCCTGGTACCCCGACTGGGTACCTCCGCCAAAGAGCGTCTCCTGCCCGCCAAACCCCACTCTCAGCCAGCAGATTGGCAGCAACCAGCCCCTAACCCCGAATCACGAGGCAAAACTCATGTTGAAGGTTCAACATAGAAAGAGCAACTCCTTTATTAAACAAAGGACATTCACTTTAGAGACACTGGGAGGGCTACAACCCCTCCCCTCCCTTCCCCCTCATGACAAACACAGATAACAGCTTACACAGGGAATCAGACATTTACATACACAGTCACAGTACTAAAGGGGGGGGGGGGGGGAAAGCTATGCAACTGACTTCACTTAATTAAGTCTCCATTTTGAATAGACAACCCATGTGGCCAAGTCCTTGTCCTCCACCATTTTAAAACATATATTTCACAGAGGGCAACAGTCACTGTCTGCATATAAAATGTACATTTAGCCCCAAAATCTCCTGTTCTCTTGCTGGGCCATAATCGGTGGGTAAGAGGCCGGCCTGCAGCCCCCTCCAACTAGCACAGTGACGGTGCATTCCGTCACAATTGTGTTGACATTTCTGGCCTCTGGACCAAAAACAAATCCGGCGGCCTGAAGCTAACATACCGACCCTTGTATATAATACCCGATCCCGGGATCTCTTTACTCTTCTGTCTGCAGGACACGGTGTATGAGTACTTCGTAGACCCAAAAACAAAGAACTGGATGCACTTTGAGGACAGATTGCCAAAAGGTTGGCGAATTCCAGCCAAGTAAGTATCTTTGAAAAATGGACAGAATTGCCAGCAAGCTTGGGATGAGGATTTAGAGCAAGCTCAATGCTTCAAGATTCTGTTTGTCAATGTGTAAATAAAGCTTTGTTTGACTTTTGACAAAGGTTTCCTTCATGGCTTAGGAGCCTTGGGCTTCTCCCTCCACTTCCGCTTCATACCTGGACTCCAGCCGGTTTATATTTTTATTCCGAGTGTTGATGAGAGCAGCAAATGTTGCTTCATGCACAAGGTCAGCCTAACCCTCGGGATGAACTCCAGGCTGATATAAAAGACGCCAATTATGCAGATCTGTATTCATTCATTTTAATGCGAGCCGGGTAAATACTTGAACTTCACTTCGTACAAACCTCTTTGCAGTCCCTGTACAGCAGAGCTCAAGCTGTGCAAAGATCCCATCAGTAGTATGGCAATGCAAGGGATGGGTTGATAGGAAGAGAAAAGCAGAGTGACTGAGAGAGAAGAAGCAGCAGATTGAGGAGTTCATTTCACTGTCCAGTGACAGTCTGGGGGAGGGACAAGACCTGTAAGCGTTACTTAACTACAGCAAAGAAAATTCAGGTCTCTTGTCCTGCTGGGCAGGGCTGTGCTGTGTGTCAGAGCTGGGTGAATCTCAGGGCTGGGTGGATAGAAATACAACTCCTATGGCAGCTAATCCAGCTGCCGCATATGTATGTTGAGCTGTTTGCCTGGAGTTCAGATATGAAGCCTAAGTGCATTTTCAGACCAATCGCCCTTATTGTTTTTGCCCCCTTTCTCCGGACCTAATAGTTCCTATCCTATTCCTCCACAGATGCATACCTACCTTAAGCCGAATGGAGGTAGATGATCCCCATATACCTTTATGGGGCTCTACTGTGCAGGGGTGGCCCAGAGAGAGGATTTGGATCCTGCGCCGCACGTCCTGCCTCTCTTGGCGGCACCTGCGTGCGCAGTAGATCCCCATAGACTTCTATGGGGCTCATCTACCTCCGTCTCCCGGCTGGGTGACAAGCCCCCATAGGTTTCTATGGGGCTAAACTGTGCAGGCGTGGCCAGTAGAAAGAGGACTAGGATGTAAACACTTCCTGGAGGCTGCGGCGTGCGGAATGAGGTAGGTATACATCTGAGGAGGGGGAGGCTGGTATGTGTTATTTCAGGGGAGGGAGGCAAAAAGGTCAAGTGCACTTTGTTATAAAGTGACCTTATCCTTTAAGGTTTCTAAGCATAAACCAATTTATAGTTGAGGTTTCATGGCCCTTTGTCACCTCTCTCATTTACTGTCCACTGCTTTTGAGATATTCTTTGCCAGTTTGTGTGATTTTCTTGTCATTGCTCTTTACAGTTCCCCGTTCTACAAGATCATGGTGCCTACAGTGGACACGGTGCGCTACCAGTTCATTGTTAGTGCCCTGGTGGCACACCAGAACCCGGTTCTTCTTGTCGGCCCGGTGGGGACTGGGAAAACGTCTATCGCCCAAAGTGTACTGCAGTCCTTAGATGCCAACAAGTGGACGTTGTTAACCGTTAACATGTCCGCACAGGTAACCAAAGCAGTTTTCTTGCAGACTTACAGCATGCCGGGTCTATTCAGCAAATACAAATGATGTTCCGTTTTTAAGTCCTCGTAACTGCATAGAATATCTAAGCCCTGAAGAAGGGGGGAGGCCTTTAAGTTTTTAAAAGCGATGTGTGTGTTGTTCTTTTGTTATAACCTGACACCAATAATAGAACATTTCGGACTGTTAATTCTTTGTTCTGTCACTCTTGTTAGACTTTTTATATTTGGATTCTATACTCTGGGTCCCCTAGATATTGGGCAACCTGTTTGTGCTGAGAGCAGCCTCACAGGAGCCATTGTGTCCTGTATAAATATGATTGACTTTATTCAACCATGAACTACTAATGAGTTGTATCCAGCCCCTCAGTTACACATGTTCCAGGTATTTGTCTGTGTCTCCACTGGGGAGATTGACCATTTTTGTTGGCTTCACCATTGTCTCCAAGACTATATGTGATGGAAAATCCAAAATTTGAAGCCACTAGAACATAAATAGAGAGGAAGTCTTCAATGAGAACCCTTGGTAGTGGTGACAACTTTTTAAGAGATTTCTCTACTTTTTGAGAGATTTCTTCTCATTTCCTGTTGTGTCTACAAGACGGGAAGCAAAGGAAAATCTCCCCAATGGGACAGAAATGGAAAAAAACATAATGGGGTTTTAACCAATCCATACTCTATCTAAAATATATATTTGGCTTGCCCTTGACTACTTCTTAAAGGAGAACTATGGGGTCAGTGTTTTTCCCCATAGTTCTCCTTGGGGTAACGGGAGGACACAAACTAGCGTCCTCCCGTTACCCTAAGCTCAGTATACCGCGAGCTACAGCTCACGGTATACTGAGACGCTGCAGCCGGAGCGGATCCTGACTTAGATGGCGGGATCTGCCCAGCTGCGTGAGTGACAGCTGGCTCTGCCTATCTAGAGGCAGAGCCAGCTGTACCCGCCCCCTCCCCCGTCCGTTCCGCCAGTCAGCGCTGGCAGATCAGAGAGGGGAATCCAGCCCCTCCCCCTGTCACGGCAGAGAGCCCTGACAGGATCGAGAGGTGAGCGAACCTGGTATGTGTTCTCTCACCTCCCGATCTACTGAGCCGTCCTGTGACAGTCTCATTGTCACAGGTCGGCTTAGAACTATGAGGTGAGTGGAAATCACTCATGTCATAGTTCTCCTTTAATAATTAGTCTGCGTTCAGGGTTGTGTGTCCATAAACATGTTATCACGTACCTGACTGGAGACTCGGCTGAGAAGGGGGCGGCCGTGCACCTCTTGTCCCACACCTCTGGAAGTAGTGACAGGAGATGTAAGGACAGAGTGGAGCACAGGTGCCGATACTGGTGGCTGGCCAGTTCTTGAGGAGGCACTTGAGTGTGTTGGACCAGTTGGTGAATCGGCAGGACCAAGATGAAGCCGGGACCTCTTGAAATCAGAGCAGGCAACGGGTATGAGGCCAACGGAGCACTGGCAGGGTGTCGTTGCTCAGGATGCTGATGGAGCGATTCAACAAGGGGCAGACCAGAAGGGAAGTCAGGTTCAAGCCGAGGTCATACACAGGGAACCAAATCTTGAGGTGCCGAATCACAGATCAGGAGCAGGGTCAGGAAACGTAAGCCAGGGTCATACACAGGAGATCAGAGAGCAGAGGTACCGGATCAGGAGGAGAAAGCGGAGTCAATTGGTCACAAGCCGGGTTCATACACAGGAAGTCAGGATACAAGAACAGAGTAAAGGTCACACAGGGACAAGCTGAAGACCACTCAGCAACTTGGTCATGGCTTCTTGTCTGTTTAAATAGGATAGTGTGCATCCTAATGAGCGTGCACCTGTACACTAATGGGCAAGTTCCTGCGCGCTCACGTACGTACACTTTTGTGCATAAGCGCTCCCGTACGTGCGCGTTCACATGCTAAAGCAGGTTTTCGAGGAACTTTGGGCAATGGGTTGCATAGTTGTGTGCGTGCACGTTTTTGAGCAGGAGTCCATGTGCAGGTAAGTCTCGCAGATATGGTTCACACCTGAACGTTTTGTAGCGCGTTCAACGCTCGACGAACGCTCTACAAAACGCTCAAACATCTAAATCCCATTGTATTCAATGGGTCTGGTTCACACCTTGCCGTATTTCCGCCCGTCCGAACGCGATACAAAACGGCCTACGCCCAAAGAAGTACTTGTACTTCTTTGGGGCGTTTTGGTCTCGCGTTTCCATTGGGATACAGCCAAGTAGCCCACGGAAACGCGCGTTTGTTGCGCGTTTTTTTTACCGCCAATCGCGGTAAAAACGTGCGCCCCCGAACCGCGCGACAAACGCGCATATTCAATACGCCTAGGTGTGAACCCAGTGTTACACATGCATGTGTGTACACAAGCTGTAAACCTTTAGAATTCCCTTTGCTGAAGCCAAATTAGTGCAATGATTGGTTATAATGGACCACTGCACTTTGCTTTTGGCTTATTAAGACATTCATATCTTCTGCCAGTAGGAAGGCTTGTTCCTGTACTTGCCTCACATGCATGTCTTGGCAGTCCATGCCCACCACGCCGTGATAAAATATGGAAAAGTGCCACATAATAAAAGTCCATATCTTATGGCACATTCGCCATTCACAAGGACCGTTTCTCTCTTTCCTCCTCAGACAAGCTCCAGCAACGTGCAAAATATTATTGAGAGTCGTGTGGAGAAGAGGACAAAGGGCGTGTATGTACCTGCTGGAGGCAAACAACTTCTGACCTTCATGGATGACCTCAATATGCCAGCTAAAGATACATTCGGATCACAGCCCCCTCTAGAGCTTCTGAGGCTCTGGATTGACTATGGCTTCTGGTATGATCGACAGAACCAGAGCATAAAATATGTCAAGGTGAGGAACCAAGTTGTTCAGATGGTCAGCAGTCTCGTGTTATCCTTCGTGTATCTCGAGGTCCTCTTCTCTACTTTTCTCGTCTTCTCTTTCTAAACATTTTCCTGTCACGTTTCCCAGGACATGTTCCTTATGGCAGCAATGGGTCCCCCTGGAGGAGGCCGAACTGCCATTTCTGGACGTCTTCAGAGTCGATTCAACCTGATTAATATGACCTTCCCCTCGGTGAGTCAAAAATGTGTGTTTTGTGTGTGTGATGTCACCTATTATGAAGTCAAGAAACAGTTTGAAACTTAGGAAATCCTTTTATATCTTCTCAGCTATATTTATGACTATGTTAAATATTGTTAAGGGTCCAGGAAAGCCTATTCACGATCTGTAGTGCGCCACTTGCTAGATGCAGCAAAATCCTACATCCCTAGTCTATGGAACAATCCCTCCCCCCCTACAATACCTATGTGGATACGCAGGGTGGAGGAGATTAGGGTGATGGAAGACATGATCCTGTCTTCTCAGGGCAGGCAGGAGCGTTACTCTAGGACGTGGTTTTACTGGCTGGAGTACATGGATTCCCCTGAAGGTCGAGCGCACTCTGTATGATACTCCTCCTTTCATCGGCCTACTAGGGAGCGCTCCGTGAGTGACCCTCTAGGCAGGCCTGACCATGTCCCAGTGACCTATACCTTCTCTTACACATTAGCTTGCTGGTACTGCCCTCCCTTCCTCTCGTCTATAAACCCCCCCCTCTTCCCTACTCTGTCCTGCTGTTATCTGATGTCCTCCCCTCCCCTCAATCCACGGAAGCAAACAGGTGGACCCCTTGGTTCACACACTATCGTCTACCAAAATTATTGCCTATTACACACTAAGACATGTCTGATGTACATTGCAATTACCCCAAACGCCCGGACGCTGCATATGTTATTAGGCTGCTTCCGCTGGATCCTTGACTAATTAAGCGACTAGGGATAGGAGAAATAGACATGCTTCCTACGTTTGTACCTGTACGACATCATTAATCGACTGTATATGTGTTATATGTTTAGTGTAAAATGTTTTCTCACAAATAAAGAATTACAAAAAATATATATATATATTGTTAAGGACCTCTTTGCTCAAATCCATCTCCTTATGCACTATAATTGCAAATCAAAGCCAGTAAGGGTAGAGAATTCATATGCGGATGACATATTTAGAAAAAACTAGTTCAGCATTTGTATGGTATTTTCCAATTGATTACAGTCCACGTCTGACTCAAATCAACTTCTCTTGTCAAGACAATCATGGGTGGTCTGGTGATACTGAAATGTACTTGTTTTACTGCAGGAATCTCAGATTAAGAGGATTTTTGGGACGATGATGAGCCAGAAGTTGCAGGATTTTGAGGAAGAGGTGAAACCGGTTGGGGATATTATCACGCAGGCGACCATAGAGCTCTATAACGCTATTACCCAGAGATTCCTGCCCACCCCGGCCAAAATCCACTACCTGTTTAACCTCAGGGACATCTCTAAGGTGAGCCAAGTCACACGTGGAGGTTGAAATGAGAAAAAGTATGAATGGGGAATGAAATTAAAAAGGTTAAATGTGAAACATATGAGAAACTCTTATTAGAATCAGGAATCAAGACCTCCTTCCTCCTGCTGGAGATCCCTCTAGTGATAACTAAAGATCTATATAGAGGAATCAGGACCTCCTTCCTCCTGCTGGAGATCCCTCTAGTGATAACTAAAGATCTATATAGAGGAATCAGGACCTCCTTCCTCCTGCTGGAGATCCTTCTAGTAATAACCAAAGATCTATATAGAGGAATCAGGACCTCCTTCCTCGTGCTGGGGATCCCTCTAGTGATGTACCCCCGAATTCTATTTGCTTTCCCCACTGCCAGGCCACAGTGTTTGCACATTTATAAAGGCTATTCTGGTAAACCTTCTCCAGGATAGAGGGAAGGAAAAAAAAATGAATAACATCTATATTTCCCCTTTCCAGGTATTCCAAGGCATGTTACGGGCACACCGCGACCTGCATGATACAAAGCACAGTATGACCAAGCTCTGGGTACATGAGTGCTTCAGGTATGGCACACTCATCATAGGGCCTATTTATAACAAGATAGACATTTCCCAATTGGAAGTTGTTTAGTACATAGATGCTTTTTTAATGGAGGATGTCAATTCCAGCATCTTTTCCTATTTATAAAGCTGCCATGGCCAGTTTTCATGACTCATTTGCACTATATTCCATCAAAGGTAAGAGTAATCTAGACTGTGTCATCAAGTGGGCCTTTTAATAAAGTTACAAGTCTGCATGAATACATTCTTGACATGTGACACTATATAGCAACAGTACTATTATTAAAAAAAAAAAAATCTCCAGCTTTTATCATTAAATGACCGGCCTTGAGCTCCAGTCCATTGACTTTGCCTAGGCTTGAAATTATGTCTTCAGTCTGCTGCAGGGTGGAGAAAGCATTTGCTCAGTCTCCTTGCCCAGTGATCTATCTTTGTAGACATTCACAAGGTGGGAGGCTGCAGCAAGAGCTGATTTTTGTCAGAAGTTAATTAATACAGCCAACATTGCACAGGATTGACATGATTGTGTCATCTCTGAGCTGGCATCTCAGTCCAGGAAGTAGATGGTGACCCTGGATGATGCCTGAACAAAGATGGTGCCGTCTTTCCTAAGAGAAAAGCAGATGAAGACATTGTTGGAGGTAGTACTGTGATCCCTGTGAGAAGTATTAAATACCTGGAAGTGTTACACTTACTTAACATGCATGAAAGGCAGTGGGAGAGCGATGCAAAGGTAAGTATGTTCTGCTGGTTTAAGCACATCACTTGCCTTGCCCTGAATGGACAAATCACAGGTTTCCTTTAAAGTGATATTAAAGCCTCCTTTTTTTTAAAATGTGTCCTACAAGGAGACCCACCTTTGCTGGAGTCTGTTGCTGTTGTTCTTTAAAAGTTGTTAGTTCCTCGTTTTCTAGTGGGTCCCAGCAGCAATCTTCCCCCCGCCCCCTGTACGGGTGCCACCATCGTTCTAATGGAGGCACCTGTGCTTGCTCATGCCCGCAGTGGCTGTGTGCGTCCATAGACACAGACAGTCCTTTGGCAGGCCACGCCCCCTCTCTCATTGACTGATGGCAGAAGGAGCCCATGGCTCCTTCTGCCATCAGTATCCCCGCAACCCGGAAGTTCAGCGAATGGAGGATCACTTCAGGACTGGCGGCAGGGATGAGCGTAGCTGACAGGTAAGTGTGGGGGGTACTGGTGATGACTGGGGGAGAAAAAAGGTGCTGTGCCATTTTTACCCTAATGCAGAGAACATGGCAGCCATCAGGGGGGTACAGCCGATACTCATGTAAGGGGCCTGGGGGGCCCACCGGGGTCCCTTACATGACTATCGGACCGACGGTGAAGGGGCGAGGAGGCAGAGGCCTGGCCTAGCAGCGCAGGGCCCCAGCATTGCCGCTCCAGCGGCTTTGAGACAAGCTAGGGCCCCATCAGCGAAGCTGCTCGTCTGACATCTGGCCGGAAGTGACCTCATGTTAGTGACGTGACGTCACTTCTGGCCGGTCCGGCGGCAGACTGGGGGGGGGCCGGCCTAAAGCTGTGTAAGGGGCCCCAAAATTTCTGATGGCTGCCCTGGCAGTGAAAGCATTAAGGTAAAAAACGCTTAGACCTTAATACTACTTTAAGCTTTAGTGAATTTTATTTTTACTCTAGGATTCCCCAAAAAACAGGTATTTCCATTTTGTAAAGTAACTAAGTAGACAAATAAGCCTTCCAATATTCATTAGCTTGTTAATATTATAATAAACATTATTTTTTATTTAAAAAATATTTTGTGTAAGAAATAAATAATTGCTGTCCCTGAGTGTCAGCTCTGACATGAGGAAGCAAAGTCCTGCCTCTACCAAGATGGCTGCCTCCACAGTGCAGAACAAAGCATGGTAGGTCAGTAATGGGGAAAAGATCATCTGCAGGGAGACCGCAGGCCATACTGGTGCCACGTCCTCTGATTGCCTGTTTTGGGGCACAACTTCTAGAGTTCAGTTCCTCTCTAAAGTAGATTACAGTCAGACACCCTTTACATTATATGTTTACTTTTTATAAATCACAAAACATGTCTACATTTTCAGGAAACATACCCCAGATAAGTTAGTATTTTAATCATGAAATATCTCACTCGACTCGTTAAAAAAATTTAATTACGGCTGTTACAGTCTAATGTGAAAAGGCACACATGATATCTGGAGATGGTCTTTAGCGGTAATTGCTCTATATTATCCAGCTTTAGTGAATCACGCCAACCTAGCCACTCTCAGCCTTAATGGGAGAAGATGCCGGAAGAGCCGGGGGGGGATAGAATGACTGTTTGGATACCTACCAGAGGGTTCCAAGCCCCTTCTGCCCGGGTGACCCTGATACCTTTTGAACAGAAATGTAGGGATGACTCCATTCACTGGGTTTGACTTCTTTGCTTTACAATTTGCTCCTCGACGGTTGCTTGTCACCTCCTTAACGGTTCCTCGAAGCACAACTACATGCAGAAATGGGTGCTGACCTAAATACTACTCTAAAACCAGATATGTGGTCACAAACTTGGTGTCACGATCTGGATCAAGTTCGGAGTCCAGTAGCTGAAAAAGCAGGCAAATTTGTGGTATAACAGGCCGGGTTCGGTACACAAGCAGACGGTAGTAGTATAGGAGCAGGCAGAAGCGTAGTCAGCGAACAAGCCGAGGTCAGTAGCCAAAGGTATCAGGTATGAAGCGGAAAACGATGAGAGTAGTCGGTGAATCAGCGGCCAAAGGTCGGTACACGGGTAGGAGTCTAAGAGGATTGTATCACAGGAGGAGTGAGAAAGCAAGATATTGGCAAGAGCACAATAATCTGGCAAACAGGAAGTGCAGAGGCGTGGCTTAAATAGGAAGTTCAAGGGAGGGGCAAGGAGTTCAGAGTTCAGCAGAGACTAGGTTTAACTGAGGATTACACAGGAGATCAGGCAAGGAGCTATCCAAGGTTCTAAGGTGGCTCAGCAGGTAGAACCACAGCCAGCTGCAGCAGAGGCCCTGGGTTCAGATCTAGTTCCTGACTAGTAGACCACTACCACCACTAAATACTGTTCCCAGAATGTTCCTAATTTTCAAAGGCAATTATAAAGAATTATACTGATGGTATTTCGTGGTCAGCCGCCTCAACCATATTGCCCCCGGTTATTCAAAGAGCTATACCCAAAGCTGTCCTAAAAAGGGAACTTACATGCAAACATGGTGGACTTATAAACACAGGTTCAAGAAATGCTTCATACATTGCTAGGCATATCTGCTCCTAAGAACCTGTGCGAAGAGCTCCCCAATCTAAAGCCAGAAGACCCCTCGAAATACCAGTTCAAGCTCATGACACACATCATAGCCACAAAACAAACCATGGCGAAAAGCCTGGCTGCCAAAATCACTCAAGACTAGACTCCATTGGCCATTCTCAACTGAACACTTACAGATACAATTCCTAAACTGATGGCTTGGGACTCATGGGTCACCCACTTCATACTGACAACTGTTGTCTGATAGACTTATAATTTCCTCAATTCATCCAAATTGAATGTCCCAGCATTTCAGTGAAGCTCCGAGGC